TTGATCCGGAAACCCCCTTTTTTATTATTTTTTCATTTTATTTCTTTTTATTTGCCTACTTGCTATGTTGCAAACTGTTGGCGCTATATAAATCCTGTATATTAATGATAATAATAATCTGGGAAGCATAACGTTGTTTATACTTACCAGATAACTTATGTTGGACTTAAACACAGCCTGCTAGAGTGCATGAGGTCTTAAAGGGCCCCTCACATGAAATAAATATGTAAGCTGCTTTAAAATATGCTACTTGCGTGACTGTCGGGCTGTGTGCAAATAAACAAACCCAGTGCAAGAAATGAGATTAGTAATTCTGACTTTCTCTTTAATTAGCCGCACAGGCAGTTGAGGAAGTATGTTTGTCAACTGCTGGGTGAAATTGCTACATTTATGTCAGAATGCTTTTTTTTACGACTAACAAGTTGTTCTATGAAAACAAAACATTATTAGCTGGTATATGAATACCGTGTTTGCAAAAACATACAACACAAAATAACAAGAAATATAAGCTGTCCAATGAATGCAATTCAAGAGTTAATATTTTCCTAGTAAGTCAAATATGCAGATTTAATATGTTTGCAGGTTGGCTCCCTTTTCAAAATAATTCCTTTACCATGGTAGGTGAGCCCTCCCTGGCATAGCATGTAATTACAGTGCCTCTAAATAACCAGTAAACTTCAGCAAACATGGCTAAAAAAATCTAAAAAAAAAGTTTAATTGCAGGCTGATTTACACTAGAAATAAATGTGAAAAGCAGCTCATTTTTCCACATTCATCACCTAAAATAATAGCTAATACTAGATGGGGAGGCTCATTCCGTAACTGCGGGGAAATTTTTTTTATGATTTGCCACAGATAGCATTAATGGGGACACATGTGTATCAATATGATCATACAATCGATCATTCAGTGCAACTAAAATGCTCAAAATGAATAAACACAGCAAACCAAAAATTCTGCATTCGATTAACTCAGTGAGCTCTCAATGGATTTCAACTCAAGACGAAAACTGTGGCTGAGTTTTGCTGATCACTTCTGATCGATTGAATGCTTATCTGCATGTGTCGAGAGAAACAATTGCAATTCAGATCGCTTGAGAGCCCATTCACATCAGAGCGTTGCACTAAGTGCACATTACTGTGCATTTTCGTGTGCTAACACAGAACGCACCTAGCATTACCTGCTATAGGTTGTTGTGTTGCCATTTATGGGAATAGCACCTAAAATGCACCTCCTGGCAGCTGCGCATTGCAGCGGAACGTGCGGTATCACAATACCATGCGTTCAAGTGACAAAAATAGTACATGTACTTTTTTCACCGCAACACACGCCTGCTGGGAGGTGCATTGGAGTGCCATTCAAATGAATGCACCGAGCACATGGTACTGCACGCTAGTGATATTGTTTGCTAAAGGCATGATAATGTGTGCTTAGTGCAACATTCTGGTGTGAATGGGCCCTAAAGCAGAAGTAAAATCATTATTAAAAAAGAAAGGTGTGAAGTTTTAGCCATAATGTGCTACTATGTAAAGAAAGTTTGCAAATTATGGCAAACATACCTGCCAAACAGATCCCCTACAGTGCTTCCACGTCTGACGGATTGTAATTTCGATCAATATTTTCAGTCAATCACAAAGTGCCAAACACTATTGTGTGTTGTATTGTTTTATATCTTAATCAACTATGAATTGTTTGTAATTTCTTGTATCTCTATTGATCAGAACATTTATTGGTGAAGGTGATGAGGCAGATGGTGCCATCACCACCCTTCATCCAATGAGGCTGCGTTCACACCTGACCGTTTTGTAGCGCGTCCTACGCTCGACGAACGCGCTACAAAACGGTCAAAAAAATAAATAGCATTGTAGTCAATGCCCTCGTTCTCACCTCGGCATATTTCCGCCCGTCCCTAACGCCCTACAAAACGGCCCACGCCTGAAAAGGTCCCGGGACTACTTTGGGCCGTTTTGTAGGGCGTTTTCCATTGGGATACAGCCAAGTAGCCTTTGGAATCACGCGACGCGAATCACGGTAAAAAAACGCGTGACGGTCGCGCGACAGACGCGCATATTACAATACGCCTAGGTGTGAATGGGGCCTTAGAGAATTCCTTGTATTGCTCAAAGGAGAACTATGGGTTCAGTGCTTTTCCCCAAAGTTCTCCTTAGGGTATACTGAGACGCCGCAGCCGCAATTCTGTCTGGATCCACCCAGCTGCGTGAGTGACAGCTGGCTCTGCCTATCCAGAGGCAGAGCCAGCTGTACCCGCCCCCTCCCCGTCCGTTCCCCCAGTCAGCGCTGGAGGATCGCACAGGGGAGGGGGAATCCCTGCAGGGAGCCGTGAGTGACAGTCACGGCTCTCTTCAGGGATATATTGAGAAGTGAGCGAGCGCCGGTATGTGTTCGTTCACTTCCCGATCTACTGAGCCGACATGTGACAGTTTCATTGTCACAGGTTGGCTCAGATTATGAGGCTGGGGATGGGGGATGGGGTTCCTCCTTAAAATTTCTACCAGACCGTAAGGCTCTGGTGTGACTTGTGGGGGGAACCCTACGCTTTTTTCTTTTCTTTTAAATGGGGTCCCTCCTAACATTCCTACCAGACCTAAAGGGCCTGGTATTGTTTGGGAGTGGGAACCGCACACTTTTTGTCATTTTTTTTCTTTATAAATGTCAGTTTTGCTGCAGCAGCTTCTATACATTGTACAGATATGCTACTTCACAGGCAGTTTAAGGGGATCCTTCAGGCATGATATTTAAAGGAATTTTTCATTTTTATTGTTTCACTTTAAGTGATGTTAAATCACTGCTACTTTGAAAACTGTATTTTTGAAAAGTGTTTTTTTTTACTGATAAATGTCCCCCGAATCCCCATACACTTTAAATTGCATACAAGCCTTCAAAATGCAATTCATTGATTTTCAAAGTTCTAACCCATAGACTTGCATTGAGTTCGAGTTCGAATTCAAACTTTTTCCATGTTCTAAAGTTTGAATTTGAACAGAACAGGGGGGTGTTCGGCCCATTACTAGTGAGGAAAGGATTCTGATATAAAAGGAAGGGGGGGTTCTGATGTCAAAGGGAGGATTCTTATGTGAACGTTGTGTTCTGATGTGAAAGGGGAGGGGTTCTGATGTCAAAGGGAGGATTCTGATGTGAAAGGGGGAGTTCTGATGTGAAAGGGGAGGGGTTCTGATGTCAAAGGGAGGATTCTGATATGAAAGGGGGAGTTCTGATGTGAAAAGGGAGTTCTCATGTGAAACTAGGGAGGATTCTGATGTGAAAGGGGGGTTCTGATATGAGAATGGGGTTTAGATGTGAAAGAGAGGATTCTGATTGAAAGGGGAAGTTCTAATGTGAAAGGGAAATTTCTGATGCAAAAGGAGGGTTCTGATGTAAAATGAGGATTTTGATGTGAAGGCGGGGGGGGGGGGGGGGGAAAAAAAGGTTCTGATATGAAAGTGGGCTCCTGGATTAAAGGAGTTCTCTGATGTGAAGGGGGGACACAATTTTGTGTGTGTCTTGTGTGGGGTCCAGTCCTCTATCTGGGTTAAGGGTCTGCATGGATGTTGGAGGGGCCCAACATGTTTTTTTACATTTCCTTTTTTTTTTTACACTTTAGACTGGGGTGGGGGACATTTTGCATATTTTGAAAGGGTGACGTGACTGAAAAAAGGTTGGGAAACACTGCTTGACAGGATGCCTGTCGGCTGCTTAGGTATGACATGCAAGCTAGACCAACATCAGTATGCACAAAAAATGAGGCTTGGGGTTTAGCTTTAAACTAAATTTTTTGTCTCCGGAGTTCAGCTTTAATAGATTCGATCATATTGTCTGATTTCGTAGAGTCGTCCGATCAGATTGTTACTTGTATCCCCACCATAAAGGTGCCCATACACCTTACAATTATCTGCAGATTTTCTGTGGTCAGATGGAAAAAGTGCAACAGATTGGCCCAGGTGGAGATTACTCCATCCACACAGTTAAGTGTAGATGGAGGAATCTGTTGCACCTTTTCCATCTGACCACCGAAAATCTGCAGATAATTGTAAGGTGTATGGCCAGCTTAAAGGTGCCCACACACCTTGCGATAATCGTACAATAATCGCGGGAAATCTCGCGATCGTATGATTATCACAAGGTGCGTGGAAGGCGTGCGACCTCTCCTACTGTAAGGTTGCACAACTTATATCTTATGAACATGTTCGAAAACCCGCCGAGAATCGTACGAATGTCGGCGGGTGTGTGGCATGTTCGCAAGATAAAAGCCGCACGGGCCGGTGTGTGCAAGCGCACACTGCCCGTTTAGCATTGCGATCATCGCAAGTACGATCTGCCTGTCCAAAGATAGGCAGATCGTACGTTTTTTTAGTTACCTTACAACCATCGCAAGACAAAAGTCTTGCGATGGTTGTAAGGTGTGTGCCCAGCATTAGAAAGCCCTGTCAATACTGAGCAACATTTATCAAAAGTTGGCCATACACTATACAATCTGATTGTACAATCTCCTTTAGCATAACTATGCAATGTAAACCTAAACAGTCCATTCAATTTCCATCAAATCCGGCAAGCCCTGACTCAGAGTCAGGGCTTGCCAGATTTCATACCAATTAAATTACTCTACACAGGTAATCTAAAGGAGATTGTATAGCGCGCTATAGCCACATTGTCACAGATGCTGTTTTGTGAAAAGCAAGTCAGGAAATAAATACAGCTCATTTCCATGGCTATCAGTTGTCTGCAAAGTTCTCTCTGCAAGAATTAAAGGCAGAGCTATTTTTAGACTCACAAAAGCAACATTGATTTTTTTTTGCATTGTGTACACTGCTCCTCCTCTGCTGCTGTCATTGCAGGGAGAATACACAGCAACAGGTAAGAGGTATGCTTGCATCTTATGGCATTGACCATGACTGAGTCATTGTTTTGTGTGAGGAAGCCGAATGATCCGGGCTCCTCCTTTGCCTCATTACCTACTATGATGATGGTGGAGGAGGAGTCCCCTGAGTGGAGTTGCCAGGAGGCAAGACAGGAACAAGTACTATCTATAGAAGAAGCTGGAGACATTATGCTGGACACACCATGAGCCGGCGGCTTGAACAATCCGAAACAGTAAAGCTGACAGCCTACCATGACAGTAAGAAGAGCTATTCTCAGATCTCCCCTAAAAGGTAAGAGGGGCGATCCTGTGCTTCTGGCTGCTGCAAGAACGGAGCACCTGTACACACAGCATATGCTTCTATGGGCTCAGCATTGACCTATGTATTTCATACTGTCCTCAGCGCTGCGAGGAGTATGCACAGCCATCGTGTAAGGCTCAAGTGTCACTGTTTAGTGTTGTGTTTCCACTGTTATTATCATCTCTTTTCCCAACACTTTCAGTGTCGCTGTTTATTGTTGTGTTTCCAATTATATTATTTATTTTCCGAACACTTTAAGTGTCATTGTTTATTGTTTAAGTTATCTTTTCACTAATATTATCGTTTTCTTTATCAAAAACTTTAGTGTCAGCGTTTATTTTAGAATAGTTGTGTTTTTAACTCATAATATCATTTATTTTCCAAACACTTTAGGCTATGTTCACGCCATGTCCGGACCAGATCTGGAGCAGATGTGCAAACGCAGTGCAGTGTTTTTGCTGCGTTCTGGTGTGTTTTTTAAGCTTAAAATGGCCCTTCAGGTGCAATATAGTGCGTTTGCATGCATTTTAATGGATTTGCATGCATTTTGGTGCATTCCAGACTAGTAAAAAAAAAGCATGCAGCATCTTTTTCCCCTGCACCAGAACAGACTGCACTGGTGTGAACAGAGCCCAGAAATACCATAGGGATATATTGCGTTTTTGGTCCGGGAACAAACTGTTCTGGTCCGGACATGGTGCGAACAGGCCCATCAGTGCTTATTGTTGCATAGTTGTGTTTCCACTGATATTATCATTTATTTTTCCAGCACTTTAAGGCCTTGTTCACAACGAAAGCGTCTGCGTTCCAGAACGGTAGCTGCTGGAATGCACTGCGATCACTAAGAAACGTCTCCTCGCGTTTTGGGGCGGGAGGGGGCGTGGCGGTGCATTAAATTCAATGGCACCGCTTCCACGCCCCCCGCCTGCAGTGCAATCGACGCGTGGCAAGACTTTGCCAGCGTTTCATTCCACTGCAAAAAATATGGCTTGCTCTATTTTCTTGCGTTTGCAGTGGAACGCCACGCGTTCAATCGCACTGCGGGCGGGGGAGCGTGGAAGCGGTGCCATTGAATTCAATGCACCGACATGCCCTCTCCAAAACGCGGGGAGAAGTTTCTTAGCGATCGCGGTGCGTTCCAGCAGCTACCGCTCTGGAACGCACACGCTTTCGGTGTGAACAAGCCCTCAGTGTCATTGTTTCTTGTTACGTAGTTGTGTTTCTACCAATACTTGCAATTATTTTCCAAACACTTCAAGTGTTGTTGGCTAGTTCTGTTTTCACTAATATTATCATGTAGTTTTTCCATCACTTTCAAAGTGTCACTGTTTGTTGTTGGGTAGTGGTTTTTCTACTAATACTGGCATTTCTTTTCCAAACACTTCAGGTGTCAGTGTTTATTGTTGGATAGTTGCTTTTAGCATTGACATCAGAGCAGTTCATTTTGTTTCATTAGTAAAGTCTGGGATTTTGTTTTATTTTAGTGCTTGTTCACACCAAATCCGGACCAGATCTGCATGTGCAGGTCGTTTTGACGTGTTCTGGGCCATTTTTTTTTCAGCCTAAAATGGGCTTTCAGGTGTAGTCTAGTGCGTTCCAGGGCGTTTGTGTGTGTTTTTGATGCATTTACCTGCATTTTGGTGCGCTCCAGAGCAGAAAAAATAGGGCATGCTGCAGTTTTTCCACATGCTCTGGAACTGAACGCTGTGGTGTGAACTAGAGCCCAAAATACCATTGGAATACATTGGATGCATTTTTGATGCTTTCTGTAACTGCTCTGCACCTGCTCTGCGCTGGATGTGAACTAGCCCTTACAGTAAAATATAAGCAGTCTTTATAAAGTTGCTTGAAGGTGCTCACCTATTGTTTTTCTTCCTCTACCTGCACTTAGTAAGTGAATGGATCTAACCTGAGAATGATAGTCCGTGGAGGTCGGTGTGCCTGAATGTAATTGGATGTGTCTGCTTCCAGTATGTTTTCCTAGATAATAATAGCAGTGACATCTGCATCAGCTATGAACGCTCTGCTTTCACAATGCCATTGGCTTGTGGTTAATAACAGGGCAAAGGTTTCTGCTGCAAGGTGTGCACTTGTGTTTAAAAAGGACATATATGTTGCTGGCTAAGAGTGTACTTTGAACACTTGTAAATTTCTTTTCGAGGTGCACTATAGGACTGGAAACTTTTCTCTACAGCTTGTTCTATGGTGTCATTGTTTTTTCTTCTTTTGGACAGAAGTAGCCAATAAGTTGCCCAAGATAATATACATCTCTATTCATGCCACTAAGATTAAAGGGTATCTAAAGCCAACATTTTTTTAAACTGACACAGTAAGGAAGAGGACTGCAATACATATATAAATGGTGTGCTCCTGAAGTGGTTATACCAAGATAGCCGTCAGCCAGCTGTTGGTTGTAACCTACAAGTGTTCAGGTGGCTGTAGAGTTGCCCAGTTACTTTATAGTGTGCTCCCCCCCCCCCCCCCTTTTGCTGCCACTGCAGGCTATCCCTGGCCCATGACCAGCATGGCAGTTGTCAGGGGCTGGATCGGAGAGAGATCAGCACACTTCCAATAGCTGATCTCTTCTCTGATCACTTAAACCGGAAGAAATAATGATATGTAATAGCAATAACGTGAAGTGTTTTTAAAAAAAATGTTTAAGCAATTATAGTTACATATAACCAATAATTATTTTTTTTTAAAGCCCTCTACCCCCACCCTCCACGCACAATTGCGCTACACGTGTTACATAGCACCACGAGCGTTGGAGGGCCAGTTCACACCACAAACCCTGCGTTCGGCCTCTGGAATGCAAGCCGGCTCTCTGCGGGAGGAGGTGGAGCTGAAGTCAATGGCACCGCAGCCACACCCTCTGCCCGCAGTGCGAGCGCCCGCAACACAGGCACATTAGTGTCTGTGCTCCGGTCCAGTGCGATCTGCAAAAGTAGTGCATGCCAGATCGCCCAACGTGAATGGAGCCTAAAACCTGCAGCAACGTTTTTTTGCCAACGGTTTTGTTGAGGATTTATGCAGAAACTATTTCTTTGTGAATTTTCCTGAAAATATGATATCAT